TGAGTAGTTTCTCTGCTGTGAAAAACTAAAACTGTAAATAAGGATGAAAATGTATAATTGATATCGTGTAATAGGAAGCAAAGTCTAAAAGAGCAGAGGAAGTGGGACAGGTAGGTGAAAGGTAAAAAGGGAAAAGAAAAAATATGTGGAAAGGAAAAACATGGAAACAAAGTCTTTTCTTTAAGGGTGGAGGGCGGAAGGTAGGGCTGGGAATTGGGGAAAATATAAGAACCAAAGTAAGTCATATAAAGGTAGAAGATCCCAGTGATGAATGTAACTGCATTGTGTACCTAACATGTGCCAATAAATTTAATAAAGATTAAAAAAAAAAAGCAAAGGCAATTCCCACCATTACCACGATGCGCACGTCTCCAGGATGTTAAAAGCACTCACACTGTTGTACAATCATCCCCACCCACGTGTGTCCTCAGGGAAACATCTCCTCACGTGACGAGCGCCCTCCATAGCCACCCATCCATCACTCCCGAGACCCTTGTCTTCCCTCCTTCCTCCCTCAGAACCACGAATCTACTGTCCACCTCTACGACTCTGACCACTCACTCTGGGAGCGTCAGATCGGTGGAATCACTCATGATTTGCCATTTTGCTTAGGGCTCATTTCAGCCACAGAGTCTTTCAGATTCATCCAGGCTGAGCATGTGTTGGAATTCTGTCTTTCGTATTCTTTGTGTTTGTTGGGTTGCAGCACACAATGTTCACACTCCTGGTGGGGAGCTGGTGCTTGTACAGATCGCCTTCACATGCCTTTCTTTTTATCTTCCTCTTCCCTCCTTCTTCATTCCATCCATCTCTCAAATCTCCTGCTTTTTTTTGTTGTCAGCAAAATGCACATTAAAACAACACACAGGTTCCATCTTCACCCAGGAAGAATAGCAATCATCAAGAGATCGAGTGATGAGAAATGCTTTGTGGCTGTGCAGTGTTGGTGGGAACGTAAGCTAATACAACCACCCTGGAAATCAGTGCAGAGATTGCTCAAAATAAAAACAAAACAAAACACAACAACTAAAACCAGTAATCCATTTGGCCCAGCTTTTTTCTAGGTATTTTCCAAAGGAGTTGAAGACATCCTATTAGAGCGACCCATGCACACCCATGTCTACAACAGCACAAGTCATAATATCTAAATCTTGAAAGCAACTTCTATGTCCATCAACAGATGGGGAGATAAAGAAAATGTGGTGTTTGCACACAGTGGAGTACTACTCTGATGTAAAGAAGGATGAACTTGAGTCATCCGTAGGAAAGTGGATGCAACTTGACAATACGATAAGTGAAATGTATTACAAAGGAAGCTTAAATATCACACGGTTTCTCTTATATGAGAAACCCCCAAAAGAAAGACAAAAATGAATGATACTGGGAAGTGGGGAGTAAGTCTCGCAGTGGGGTCAACACTCAAGGTCACCCACGCGGCGAAGCCCCCTTCCGTTACGTACGCAAGGATGGAGCTGTGCCTGCAATGTCCCTGTGATGAGTGATCCCTGATCAATTCACAGAGACCTGGCCAAGATGGAGGCTTAGCATAAATCGCTGTTGTTTACCTGGCAGGCAAATCACATGGCGAAGACACAGGTGTGTGGAGGGCCAGGACCTGAGGACAGCACAGACAGATCCAGGAGGAGCTGCTTAATCCTCATCCTCATCCCTGGGGAGATGAAGGTCACTGTGGTGCTGCCCAGGGTGAAAGAACTGTGGAGCTTTCAATGCTAATTACTAACTGTTTTTTTCTTGTCCACCCCAGGAAAACCAGAGATGCGCCACACAGTTTCAGGTACAGGGCCCAGCATTATGCATGATGCGGTTTTTGTGTATATATGATCGCTCAGAGACGGCAAAGTCTCTGTCTCGTGATCCAAGGTGGGTGAATCAGCCCTAAAGAAGTGGCTTCGTATTTCACCTTCACCTTGATACCACTCAGATTCAGGTCAGTTCACATGTACATGGCCATCGCGAGATGCAGTCGTGCACACTGTGATCACTTTCATGGGGACAGCTGGTGGAGATGTGGTCAGTCGACAGTGCACCTCAGGCCATAGAGATCTAAAAGTCTATAGTCTCCCATAGCCCACTGTAAGTGCAGGCATGTTTTCAGAAGTACTACTTTTGGTAAGGTTGTTTTTAGTCACATTAACGAAGGGGGGCATAGACATAAATGCTGTGAGATGAGGCTGTGTGTTCTCCATATGCTACGCTTTCCCATGGATAAAATAAACCTGTGTTTTACAATAAAAGCAACAACAAAATGTCTGCCCGAGGAAAAGTCCTGGATTCCAAGTTTTTTTGCCCAAGTAATCTGATAGTATGGTCACGAAGCCTTCAAACTAACACCTGAGGCAGTAGGTGTAAATAATTTCGGGGGAATACAACAATTTGAATTTTTGTTGGGAGGCTGAAAACGTAGCCTTATGCCAGTGAGATATCAAGAAATCGTTTCTTAACAATTCACACTTTGTAATGTGCGGTTTCATAAAATTATTGATATATATGTAGATGCAGAAATAGAATGAGTTGAGAATAATGAGGTGAACGCTTTTGCAAAGTCATATCTGTTCTAATTAAGAAAAAACAGAATCCCTATCACAAAGGCAATAAATTAAATCAGAAAAATGCAACGTCGAAGAACACACTTAGAATATTCAAGCAACATTTAATAGGGACAGAAGTAAAGTAAGTATCGACCTTATATGAACGCTGAACTTCATGGGTTTGTGAACTTGGGTTCGGGGGAAACTTTCTGTCTTTGAAGAGGAAGGAAAATGTTGTTTTGGTTCAAAGGAACACAGTGTCCTGACCCTGGGGCACGGGAGATCATTTTAACAATTTTAGGACTAGAAAAAAAGAGGTCAAAGGGAAAGATGATGTGCGGATGCTTAGCGTGGTGGTTAATTCACTCAGTGGAGCAGAAGCAGCGAAGAAAGTGTGAAGAGAACACGCGTATCACCGACCGGTTAAAAGGACGTACAAAGAAGGTGGTGTCACTTCAACTGGCCAGGAAAGAGCAGTTAATTCCTCAGCTAAAGGGACAGAATGGAGAGGCTGCATTTGAAGACTCTGAGCAACACATTGCAGTCTAGCGAGGGGCCGCGTGACGACAGACTCTAGAGAACGGAAGGTATAAACAGCATCGGCTTTGTTAGAGATTCCATGGGTATGGACTCCTAACCCACGTTGCAGTGGCGTTGCATATGAGCAAACGGCATCTCTTGAAATATCCTTGGGGTGGATGGCGAAAATATCCAAATCAAAACACACAAGTGTCGAACTCAAGCTGGAAGGACGTTCCATGTGGACGTCCCAACGTCAGATCCTGACGTGCCTTGCTAGGGGAACTTCAAACATCTGAAATTACACAGAAACCATATTCCTCCCCACCATGCAGAACGACTGACTTCCACAAAATCTAGTCCTTGGTGCCAAAAATCATTGGAGACAGCTGGTAAGAACGGTCGCTTTCTCCGTGGGTGAGTCCTGAGTAGTAGGTTTATAAAAAGCTTAAAGAAATCCTTAAGCGGTGCTATGGTTACACCACCATCAGCGCAGTGCGTCCCTTCCATCTTTCCTGAACAGCCCCTCCCCTGGACACATGCTTGACTGGGGTGCATTAGCAGTTTCAGCATCCAATGGCGACCTGGAGCCTAGCGTTGCACCATGAATCGGTCACACAGTTTAGATCCGGCCGCCTCTGGAAAAGGGCCACCTATGTACGACCGCATGAGGCTATGTGTGGGGGGGGCACCGGGACACAAACCATAACAGGTGCGTGCGGGAGGAGCATGTGGTGGCCAGAGTGTGGTGACAAGCAGCAGCCCTGCTCCTTCCTCACTGCCTTGCACTTTTTGGGGTCCATCTGAGGCTGAGCTCTTCACACCATGTTTTCTCTCGTTCAGTCTGAAAAGAGCTATTCTTTTGAGCCCTCAAAGCTCAAGACCTAAATATAACATTTGGAAAGGAACCAAGAAAGGATCTATGCTCCAGGAACAAGGTTGTAGGATCAGCTAGGGAGGAAGAGGCGGCGTGGGGCATGCATGACCTGGGTGGTGAGCGTAATGCAGACGGAAGTGGCTGCCCTTTCTAGGACCTTTGCGCACTTTTTGCCTCGTGCCCATCGCTCCTGTCCACCTTGTTTCACCCCAGATAATAAAAGCCGAGATCCTGATTTTACCAGTCAGAGAAAGTCATTTTTCGAAAGTCAGCTGACCCCTGTAAGTCTGGGCAAGATGGAGCCGGGGATCTAGTTCAGTCACACAGCGCCGGCCTTGCCAGTGCAAGGTCCTGAGTTCGATCCCTGGAACCAGGGGTGGAGGGGAGTAGTATGGGCAAGAGAAAGACGCCGTGCGGACAATGTCACCTTGACCATCTCCCTGCCAGCCAGCTCGCTTGCTGGGCGGCAGCCCCACCCGGCACCTGCCTTTTGCCCCATTATCAGTAAGACTTCTGCTTTACCTCACTTTTACTATCAGTTTCAGTCCCGAGACAGCCTCCCTGCACCCCTTGCCTTCCTGCGGGCTGGAGAGAGGAACCTGGGGAGTGGAGGGTCCCTTCCCCAGACCCCCCTCGACCGCTACCTGATACAGGGTCCCCAGGAAAGTCACATCTGCCAGGACCTCCTTCGAGAATGGCGGTTTATGTCAAGCTCAGCGTTTGGGTTAGAACAGGGCTACGTGTGAAGGACTGTGTGCTTTGAAAGGAGGGTCAGGGAAAAGCGCCTCTGCCACCTGGGGCACACACACATGTGGGCGTGTGGAATTTATATGTATCAATATGCACATGAAAGGGTTTATTTCAGAAAGCCGGGTAATATTAACAGAGCCAGAGTCTAAATGCGGTGATTTTCTTCTATGTCTGACTTTTCCTCTAATATCTCCTGCTTCCCTCTGGGTAAAACCACTTAAACCTTTTATCCTGGTTTCCATTGTAGGAAAAATGAGGATAATAGATACCCCATGGCCACTTTAGAGAAATGTTTTGATGCCCACCTTTTATGCCACTGTGTGAGGAAAAAGCTTTGCACTTTGGCATTGAGGTGCCACGTAAATATTATCAGCAGGCTCCTGAGATTTTTATCTGTGGAAGGTGACAAGGCTTTCTCTTCTGAAAACCTCCTTTCTCTAGCTTCTGGACACACGTGGTCCCTGACAGCTCTCTTTGGCTAGATCCGCTGGACTCCGTTAGAGGGCAGGCAGGCTGCTGGTCCCAGGGAGACAGTCCAGGTGAAGGAAGCTGTGGGTGGAGACAGAGAGGCGGTCTCCTAGACCTGAGTGTGGACGGACGCCGGTGGGCGGTGAGGCTTCTATGTGCAAAGCCAAGGTGTGCATTCGAGGAAGCCCAGACCACCTGAAGAAGGAGACGGAGGACTGTAGTTACGGCCTGAGCGTACAAACCACGGCAGCCTGGGATGCTTCTCCTGACAGCTGAGCCACCTCTGGGTAGGCAGGCGACTCCAAGAAGCATCTCTGCTCCTAATGCATCTTGAGCTTCATGTGCTCTGTCGATAGCAGGCATTTCCTTCCGCTGCCTGTGTTTTCCTGAACTGCCTTGCTGTCGTGGTTGCCTTCAAGTCCTGAATCCACTCAAAACGTTGACCTCCCATGGTTGCTCTGACCGTGGGGAAGAGCCGAAGTCACAGGGCTCCAGATCTGGTGAAAAACAAGGATGAGGACGTGGCATCACGATTTTTATTTCATTTTTCCATAGTTTAATTAATATAAAAATGGATATGTATAATATTTACATGCATCTTGGGGAATTGGTAAACATACAATCTAGCATCTTAATCATCTACATAAGAGAAACCATGCGATATGTCATCTTTTTATCTGATTTGTTTAGCGCTGTTTTCTTACAGATGACTCAAACTCGTCCTTCTTTAGGGCAGAGCAGCACTCCATTGTGGGTATGTCGCACATGTTTTTATGAGCCTGCCCTTTCCACTGATGGCGCGCAGCAGCATGATCCTTGGTAATTTTCACTGCACGTTCAACACGACGCTGACTTAAGGGCAGATCCAGAGCTGCTTCGGAAAGTGGCAAGAACAGCCGCACGCGTGTGTGCAAAGCAAGCGGCATTTGCAGGAGGTTCCTGATAATGGGTCTTTTCCTATAACACTCTTTAAAATTAAAATTAAACAGTTGCTGCATTTTTTTAGTCACTGCATATTTTGATCAGTCCTTGAAAGTTAATAAAGAAATATAATCTAGCTAAAGTGTTACCCGTGTAGTACTGTAGAAAAAGGTCATTTGGAAGAAAGAAGGAGAAAGAGGAAAGAGAGACAGAGAGAGAGAGAGAGAGAGAGAGAGAGACAGAGGGAGAGAGGGAGGGAGAGAGTTTTCCATTCTTTGGTATGTGAGTAACATTCAGTTCACTCTTAATATTCCCATCGTGATTGTAAACGGAGACCGATTTACCAAGAGGAGGTAGAATTAAAGGATGAATGTCATGAAGTGCTCAAAACTAAAACAGAAGTAGAATTTAGAAGACTTATGAATCGGGTTTCAAGATAAATCTCTGTATCCTAGCACAGGGAAGTTAAAAAAACAGAGGAAAAAATAAACAGTAAATGCTCAGACCCTGGGACCCCCAAAGCCGCCTGTGTTAGGTGAGAACTGGTTTGGGAAAATGGCTATTTCATGTCACGATGACTGAGATTTGGCTTGGTTTTTGCAAGTAGAGTGAGTGAAATTTTAAAGTCTCTTCTCGGAATAGGGGATCCCACCGATCCGATATATATTTCAAGGGAGCAGGCTCGCGGCCAGAAATGAAATGAGAGTGAATGTAAGGAGCAGAGCTTGTGTGTTGGTTCTGCCAGCCTTTTACAGCCGAGGAGGCCATTCGGGGGTATGGATTTGGGCGATCTGCGCTCAGGGGAACACATTCTGTTGCCCCAGCTTTGTGGCGTTCTGTCAAGAAACTAAGCTGGTTAAGCCGCAATGCAGGCCGTGGATAATGCCAGGGTCTTTAAGCCCTAATCCATGCCCACAAGCAGCCAGTCACAACATAAACCAGGAATTTGAAAACCGGAAGGCAGAGCTGAGTGGACATCAGCCTCCCGGCCTGTCTATGCACAGCACCTAATGCCATAATGATAGGTTCCCTTCCATCTCTTTCGGTGGGTTGAAAATCAGAGCGTGGCGAAATTTGGAAGGATTTTAAAATTCATCACATGCCATAAGTCAGCAGAATTTCCTCCACCAGCTCTCTGTTCTTATTCCAAAGATCTTTTTCCCTAGGTACTTAATGTACTTGAAATTGTGTTCAGTGCTCGAAGCACAGAGAGAAATAAGATAGAATGGATTTCTGTCACTCAAAGGTCGACAGCTAGTATAGAACAGAAACAAAAAAAAATTTTAATTTTTTTTTTAATCCAGAAAATGCTATGAACAGGAAGGAGGGAAGGTATTGAAGGCAACTTGGGGCATTTCATCTGCAGTGTCCAGTAATGTTAGCATATTCAGATGGGAAGAAAGACAGGACACTGTAAAGTACAACATTCCACCAGTGAGTGACATCGGTTTTTAAAAATTGCTTTTCTAATATGAAATCAATGGGCCAGGGATTGAGCTCAGTGGTTCCAGCACCTGCTTCACAAGCAAGAGCCCAAGTTAGATGCCCAGTACCAATAAATAAAGCAAGAAAGAAAAAGGAAAAGGAAAAAAATCTATTATTAAATCAAAATCTGTTTTTGCAGGGGGAATAACATTGGATGTTCCATAGCTCTGTAGGGTGAGTACAGTTGGCAAGGATTAATTGGATATTTCAAAATCGGCGGTGCAAAGACAGCAGCCCGGAGCTCTGTGATTGGAACGGGGGAGCCTCTCTGTGTTCTGGGAGCGTGAAGGGATTGCATCTTCATTCGAATCTAGGGTACTGGCTCCAGGTTGAAAAGACACCTGGCAGAATCTGACCCTCTCTGCTACCCGTCCTGGTCGCGTCCGCCACCTACATCTCTTGCCTGGGGTTGGCAGCCGTCCCCTACTGGCTGCTCCGGCTTCGGCACTGCCCTCAGAGCCACCAATCTCTGGGAGTATGAGTCAGGGGCCTTTGCTCTCCTCCTCCCAAACTTCCATTAGCTCCCATCCCTGCGTGATCCCCTCCTAATGCAATGCACTATATTTTCACTTTACATTACTTTGAATTTGAATTATTTTTTAATTATTTACTCAAGAGCCAAAAAATTATATCCTAAGATTAAACTAATAGATTAAACAAAGGTTCTTTTAATTTTTTTTTTTTTCAATCTCTTCAGTGGGCAGGGTGAGTGGACCAATGTGTGCATAACCACATGTCCTAGATTTCAAAGCTGTTTTGACCGAAAATGATCCGAAGCACACTGAGATGTAAGGCGGGACGGAAAGACACGATGAATGTGTACATCTTAAAAAGTGTATTCCAGTCAAGGTCACACTGCCGCGAGTCTCCTGATTCGTACACGCTCATTGTTCTTATTAACACTTTTTGGCCGCTCCAGAGTCCCCTTTGTTGAGGGTCTTTAGCTGTGTTATCCTGGCTGCTTCAGTGTCCTGACCATGGATTCAAAACGTTGACCATTCAGGGTTATTTTGACTTTGAGGAAGAGCAGGAAGTTACACAGTAGGGGATTTGGTGAATGAAGTAGGTAAGGATACTCAGTGAGGTATTTGTTTTGTTTTCTTTTGTTTTGCTTTATGGTGCTGGGGATTGAACTCAGGACGTTGCACTTGCGAGACAGGTAGCGGAACCACTGAGCCAAATCTCCAGCCCTAGTCATGTGTTTTATTGAAAAACAAACAAACAAAGAAAAACAAAAAAACTGTCCAAAATTTCATAAGCTAATAAGAGAAGAATGGTTAACAACAATAGTTATTACACTGTGTATCACTATGCTCAAAGTAGTTACTTGGAGTCTAAGACATAAACCAGTAAGATCCTTACAAAGAGACACATAATAACAAAAAACTTTCAAGGAACTAAGTTAAACTAGTAGTGTAACTGAAACAAACCAGCACATACATTGAAATATTTTCCAAGCAATAGCATGTTCAGTCTGGGGAAGCATGTGACCTTGTCCCTCCCCCATTTATGTCTCTTCTATTCTTGGGAGCCTGCCTCTCTTGTGGATGCCACTTGGTCCCAGAATTGACAGCATTTTTTATCACACACAAAAAAAGAGGACTTCCGGAAGAGAGAGCAGAGAGACTCATGGGATAAGTGTGCTGGAAACATGGGGGAGAATTTGGAAGGGGCCTGAAGGCCATGCACCTTTGACCGTGATAATTACTTTTTCATTTCAGTGCTCCCCTGATGTTCTGATCGCCCTTGAATTATGGCCAAGCTTTTCTTATGCGGCCCTGGAAGGAGCAAATGCAAGTCCACACAATCATACTTCCATACCGGCCGTTAAACAGCCTGTGCCAGCAGGAAGTCAGAGAGTGGGAAAAGATTTCATTTCTCTTGCTGTGCCACTGCGGGAAAAGCAAGTCTTTATTTTCTTGTGGCAGCTGAAATTTCTTAAGACTTCTCCTGAAAACTGAACGCTACCTGTGATTTGTTTTCCATGCACTCAGCGACAAAACTACCCGATATTTTTTCCCCCTGAGGAAAGCAAGGCGAGCCATGGGTGGAGCATTCATGGTACTTAATGATCATTGTTAAACACCCAGAATTAAAGGTAAGGCAAAGAACGGGGCATTGCGATTCCACTAGTGTCTCTGATCCTGTGTCCGCATTCGGCGTTTTGGAGCTAGGTGTCTTTCCAGGGATTCAAATCAACACCATTCTGAGGAGCTGAATGAATGCCTGTCTGGCATCCGGGAAAGGTCTGAAGAAAGCCAGCTGTTGCAGAATCACCAAAGAAAACACCAAAATTCATCTTTTATGAAGGACACCACGCAGGTTGCACCATTATGTTGGCAGTGTGGTGGCCTGCTACTGGACACACACAGTGTGGTCTTCCACCTTGATGCTGTATTTATTTTGAAAAGGAAAATATGCGAATTAAGGCAACTCCTGTCCCTCCCCCGCAAAAAAAGGATGGCTTGACTCCCTGGTCACTTTTGAGAGGGTGGATGTATCGTTTATGAGGATAGTAAAAATAGATTCAATCTGAAAAATTTATGAAAGGCTAGGAGTGATTTATATCACTTTAAAGATGCAGGAATTACTCTTAGAGGGAAAAATAATACTTAAAAGGCGGAGGGTATTGGGGAAGCATGAGTGAATGAGGCAGAGGCCGAGGGAGAGAGAGGGAGGGAGACTGAAAGACGGACCTGGGGGAAAAAGAAGTAGAAGAGGGTTGTGCACACCTGGAGTGCTGGAGATATTTTGCAGAGATAAACATGGTGACCAGAAGCTTAAGTGCTTCTGCCATGTGCCGTGCCAGAGGCTTTGGGGACATGACCAGTTCCTTTACCAAGTTTTTCTGGAAGGCAGAGGCGTTGGCCTCCACGTGAAGGAAGTGCCGCCATGCTGAGATCAGTAATGAGGTCTCGGCTCCCCATTGGAGGACCCTAACAGTCTCCAGCCTTTTCACAAACATTGCCTCTCAAGTGCTGCGTGCTGGGCCGCACTCAAGGAAAACCTTCAGGGCTGCCTCTCCTGAATCACAATGATTTGCCCACACACCGTGGAGCAGGCGGCCTAAACTCCCTGTTTCTACCCA